ACTGTCCGGTGTTGTTTTAATTGATCTGTTCACTGAACTGTTGTAATTATCAGTTAAGTCTTGAAGGACGTCTAACCATTTATATGTACTGGCACTGTAAAAGTACTTCCACATTAGCGCTTTCAGTGTTCTGTTAAACCTTTCCACAACTGCGGCCTTTTTGTCTGAGTAAGTAGAGAAAAATTCAATGTTATGTTTATTGAGTAATGACTTTACTTCTTTGTTGTAAAACTCTGTGCCTTGATCAAACTGGGTGAATTTTGGGTATTTACCAAAGTGATTATTAAATTGCTCTAAAATGTTACTAACTGCGTCCTTCATTGATGCCGCGTTTTTCCTATACACTGGTACTGTGAATGCGTACCTACTTAGTATTTCAATAGACGTTAGAATCCATCGGTATCCCTTGTTCTTATCGTCATATTTTGTCATGTCAACTAAATCCATTTGTAACTGTTCACCTAAAGTTTGGACGTACGTCTGTCTGAACTTATGTTTCCTAAATACTTGTCTGTACCTAGTGTATGTGTCCTGCTCATTTATCCATTTCTTAACCTGGTTTCTGGTTACTTTAAGTCCATCTGATACTGCTCTAAGATATAGTTTCTCTGGTGTCTGGAATCCAGTCTTAGGATTGTAGTAAATATCTCGTAGTCCTTGTTCTTTCATAATATCATCGTCCATCTTATATTAACTAATGTAAGCTGGCTACCGACTACGTTAGTAGACGCCAATAACTAATTTATTGCTCAAGGTACATCTCAAGTAGCACTTCACCTATATCAGTAGGTTTCCCGTCTTGATCTGTCATGTGGAATCTAAGTTCTGAGAAAGAACCCTTAATAACTGAAGTCTTACTTTCAACGTCAATGTAACTAACAACTGAGCCTAATAATGGTCTGTCAGTTGGAACTGTAACACTTGTTATTACATCGCTGGGCCTTCCCCAAGGGTTAACGTTAAAACTGCTACTTACTAGGTTGCAGTGTATATTTACGTATCGTAGACCATTATTAAAGTCAACTTTGCTATCACTTGTCAAACTCCTCCCTTTTAGTAGGATCATAGGATTATTAAATCTATTAAAACCTAACATAGTCAGTAATCGCGTCTCTATTGTGATATCCTGTTTAACTGCCTCTATCTGGCAGGATGCCGTTTCAGCAAAGTAGGTTAGTTTAACACCGTGTCTCTCAAGTAATTTTCTCATACTATCAAATGTATAGTAGCCCTTGCTGACAATCACGTCAGTTTCACCACCAGCTGTTTTAACCTTGAGAATAGTTGTTGGTTCTCTTATATTGAAATATTCCCAGAAAACTGAAACTCTCTTCACAAAGACTGAATTATAGTTGCTTGTTAGAACTGAATTCTGTAGTGATATAATAGTGTGCGAGCTCTGGAGTAGAATTGTGAACTTCATCTTAATAACATACGTTAGGTTATTAAGAATGAGACTAGGTGGAGGAGACATTGGGAAGTCACCGTATAGGTCTTACCAAGACTACGAAAAAAAGTATGGAAAGGAAGATGAAAATAATGTTGATCCTATTGCTGGTAAAAAAGCTGAGAATGCTGAGAGGGCTAGGTTTATTAAAAAGTACCCTCACGCTGACATGAAGAGGTTTAAGTTTGAAGCCATGACTACAAGTAGTGGTGATATAGGAGTTGTCACTTGGTTTGTCGATTTAGACGGTATATCTTCATATGACATTAGATATGACGGTTTTAAGAAGGATAAGGAGTTTACATATTATCTCACAGGTACTAAGAAAATTATTACCCCCGCACAGTTCATACCTATGACTGATATGAAACAACCTCCACCGAAGGTAGCCAAAAAGTTACCAAATACAACTGCAACCAAGTTAACAATATCCTCTCCCGTAAAACCAAAAGGATGGCCGCAACTCTGGGATAGTAAAGGTGCTGTTCAGGAGTACGAACCTCTCGTATTACCAAGGGATCCTACCTACGATCAGAGAAAGTTGGGCTTCAGTCGAGTTTTAATTAATGATGATGGTTATTAAATTAACACGTATAGACCTCCTGTAAGTCTTCCATATAACTTTAACAACTTTAAAATTTATGTAAATAAAAATAGTTATTTTATGTCCGGCTTCCCCAGTGCCGGTGTAGGTTGGGATGAAGGTCCTAATTTAGCTAATAAGGACGTAAGAAAAGTTCCCTTCAATACTATACCATACACTAGAATGCTGTCTGGTGCTTATATAGCTAGCTATCTTAGTGGAGTATCCTTAGAACATATTCGTGAAAGCGATTCCATCCCAAAGATAATAACCGCTATTATGAGATACCATCTTTACTACACAATTAGAAAGTTAACGGTTAGTAAAGATGCTATTGATAAGCTTAATGTTAACCTCGATATTGTGAGAAACCATATTCCTATAAAGCAGGAATATATTATTGATGGAAGTGGTTGTACAACTAGTGCGGGACCTCTATCTGATAACGACTTCCTTTCATTCATAGCTGAAAAAAGTGATGGCTTTACTAAGTTAGGCGTTGAGCTCATCCAGGAAAGTATTGAGTCGTATGTGTACGCTATATTAGGATTCCAAGCTAACACAAGGTGGTCAATAGAAGGAAACGGTCCAAAGGCTCTTCAAACGCAACGTAACTTTAGATCTGTTGTAAATGCTACTATTTTACAAAGTGATACAGTAACAGCAATTAGTAATATGAGGAAAGCTGTGAGGGATACAAATGTGATTCTAAACACTGCCCTATCTCCCGGAATAGTTCTAATTCCATCAAACTTTATCATTCTGCTAACCCCAATACCTGGCTATAATAACATTCTAACCACGGCAACTAATACAATGGAATTCGGTGTGAATACCAAACTAAACTATGTTGGGGAAAAGAAAACCGACCATTCAAAGAAACAGCACCAAGACACTACACCGGTTCACCACCTTGATGTTATTGATGGACATAAAAAGGTTCCAGGAGGTCCTACAAGTGCTAAGCCTCAGGAAGGTTCTACAAGTGCTGAGACTCAAGTTGTTCCTATCATGAAACATGATGCGGTTAGTACCCATGAGTCTTCAGGAGTTAGCGCTATTGCTGGAGTTGGTATTGGTGCTATAGTTGTATTTATTCTAATGAAAGTTGTCCTGTAAACATTATGTATGTTATAAAATGGCTCTCTATAGGGGATACAATAAAGGAGTAAATAAAGTTGATCCATCAAGCGGTAGTGTGTTTGATAAGGACGGATTTACCATGAAGGGCGACATTGAAATGGACGGTAATGAGGTGAAAGGTCTGGGTGCACCTACAGATAATACTTCTGCGACCACAAGAAAGTGGGTGGATGATGAGATCGTTAAACAGGCTGCCCTTACAATTCAACCTACAGGGTTTACAATGACTGGGGATATTAACATGGGAGGTAATAAAATAACTAATCTTGATAATCCTACTAACCCAGGTGATGCAGCCAGTAAGAGCTGGGTTGAGGGCAGCCGTGCTAGTTTACCCGGGCTTGTTCTTACGGATGATCTCAATATGTCAACAAATGAAATAAAGGCTCTAGGTGATCCCACAACTGGAAAGTCTGCAGTTAATAAAGATTGGACCCTATTACAAATAAGAAACCTGGACTTATATACAGCCAGTCACTATGTTCAAATTGATGGTACGCAGGCAATGACTGGTAATCTTAAATTAGGTGGAAATCAGATTGAAAATGTTGGTGATCCAACAACTGGAAAGTCTGCGGCTAATAGGGACTGGGTAGTTGGAATGTTAAATAAACCTGTAACTGGACTTAATATTGCTAGTGATATCGATATGAAGGACCATGAGATTAAGAATCTTAAGGATCCCTCTGAGGACCAGTCTGCTGTCACAAAAAAGTGGGCTGTTGATAATAACTTTAGACTAAAAGGTGGAATTATGCAAGCAGATGTGTCCATGGGAGGTTGGAGATTGTTTGATCTTATTGATCCTAAAATTGATAGTGAGGCTACATCAAAAAAGTGGGTTGAAGGTAAAATATCTACACTTCTTGGTCCCTCCGGTTTTAAAATGTCAGGAGCAATTAATATGGACGGAAATAGGATAAGAAATGTTTCGGTTCCTAGGAGTGGAGGAGATCCTGTTAACCTTGATACTCTAACATTAAATTTAAATTCTTTTAGAAATAAAAGTGATAATGATTACCTCAAAAGGAATGGTGGCTCCATGACAGGAAATATGAATACAAATAACTTTCAAATCTATTCTAACGCTGTCCCTGACAGAGACTCCTCCCTTGTGGCTAAAAAGTGGGTGGAAGATAAGATTAGCGGTGGTAGAAGTAAGCGTGAGACTTACAGTGGACTTACACTTTCTGACGACCTTGATATGGGAAACAATGAGATTATAAAATTAGGTGCTCCTACAACTGATAATTCTGCCGTATCCAAGAAATGGGTCACGGATCATGTCAGTGGGAGTTCTGTAAGCAAGTAGTAGTGGCTTCACTATGAGCGGTAATATTGACATGGCTGGTAATACTATTACAGGACTAAATAGTGGGTCAACGGGAAGTTCTAGTGCTGTTTCTTACGGTTCCATGACTTCATGGTGCTCACAGTTTCTTAAGCGTGATGGTGGCACTTTAGCTAGTAACTTAGATGTTAACGATTACGAGTTGACAAGAGTTGGAAACCCAACGACTGACGGTTCAGCTGTTAATAAGAGGTGGGCAACAGATGAGTTCATGAGTAGTAGAGGTGGACTGGTAAAAGGTGATTTGGATATGGGAGATTCAAGTGGAATTCTTGATCTAAAGGATCCTGTAAATGATAAGGATGCTGTTAACAGTGGGTAGAAAAGAATTTCCTAAAACCTTCAACTGGCCTTACTCAAGCAACGGCTGACTTAAGATATGTAAGAATACGGCGACATATACATGCAGAATGGATTTGGGGTTATCGTGGTGTTTCAGTTGCAGCAACAAGGTACTACGCTTACTGTCACGATCAGATTCCACCTTCATGGAGAACAGATCCTATTAACAATATGGCAGACCTGAACCTTGAGTCAATTACTATTAAATCAGATTTCCCACGTTTTTCAACTGTTCAAAATATACCTATAGGACTCGTTCTATGGGCTACCATTTGGGAAAAGCAATCTAATGGAAAATTTGCTAAGGTTAAGAAGGAGATTGTTCTTGCCACGGTTGACTTAAGAAGACTGTCACACACCTGGTTTAATGGAACTTACACAACTACCGGTGGAAGTACAGCTTGCTACGTTTTCAAGGGTAATAGTATGTTCTATTTAGGAGCCCAGACTGAGTTGGTAGATAACACGCTAGCCTGGTGTATCATAGTTAAACCTGAACACTCAATGCCCACTGGTACTAGCATGGATATGTCCTTTTGCTGGTCACTCCGATATTCGGGGTCAGGTAGTTAACATGTGGTTTATCATAAGATAAGATGTCAAGGTGGAGGTCATGCTTCTCCTGCTTAGGTAAGATTTGTGGTTGTCGTAAGAGTTCTAGTAGAACTGGGAAGTCTGGTGATATAAATTTCTCTGTATCAAATAATATTAACATTGGAGTAAGCACACAAAATAAAAAGGATGACTTAGACTTTAGACCAAATTCTGAAAGTTACGGTCACCTAAGAATGCTTGAGGAAAAGTCAGATGTTAAATAGAGAATTTAATAGGAATAAAATAAATGATCTAAAAAGTGGTCTAGAAAAATGATGGTAAAAAAGATCAGAAAAATGGTCTAGAAAAATGAGGTAAAAAAGACCAAGAAAAAATGGTCTAGAAAAATATGAGCCCGCGTTGGTTGGGGAAAAATATGGAAACCGCTGACCGGAAGTTGGGTGAGATCGCGGGCCGAAAAAGTGGTCTAGAACCCTCATTCCCTATACTACTCATATTGAAACGTCATTGTTACCATAGCAACGGTAATGACGACATTTTGGTGAACAATTCTCAACTCCTAGAAGATTGCTCAATATCTGTGGTACACTTTTTGTCTTCTAACAAAAAATTAAATCTAACTCACGATTTTGTCATATTTTAAAAACTGTATTGAGCCACCTTAAGGCCCATTTACACTAATTGCAACAGTTTCTGCTGCAATTTTAGGTGCGATTTTCTTCGTCTGATGGATGTGAATAATTTACATTTATTATTTCTTTATTATTATTTCTATTTCTTTATTATTATCTATTATTATTTCTAAAGGGCAATAAAAATTAAATTTGTCCATTTTCAAAGAACTTTTACACATTTTTTCCCATCTTTCTTCCTTTTAGAGATATTGTTACCAGAAACAGCGTACTTGTTGCTAATTGCAAGAATCCAGTCCGGCATAGATATTTGTAAATATGACACTATATAAAATGTATTTTTCCGTTTCCGATCACTGAGCTTCCCAGTATTATTCCCAGTAGCTCTGTGCATGGATGCGGCGTGTTGTTGTGATATGTGATGTTGTGGTTGAGTTTTTTTGAAGTAGTTTTTCTTTTTAGAAACTTTTCTTTTTCTTTAAAGTTTTAATTTTGATTAATTAACTCTCTAGGGTTAGGAAAATGATTAGCGAAAGGGTTAGGGACCGGGTTATAGGGACAGAGTTATGGTAGGAATGGGATTTTGTTTATAGTTAGGGTAGATTCCTGTCTTTAACCGCAAGTGAACTCAGCGTCTAGTCCACCATTTTGTTATATCTGACCTATTTTTATATTAGGGGTATATATATATATATATATATATATATATATATATATATATATATATATATATATATATATATATATATATATATATATATATATATACCTGTTAAATAACTATGCGGTTGACTGCACTCCAAGGGTAGCCTTTTTGAGGTTGTAAGCCCCAACTGGAAATGGATGGAAAAGCCTGAAACTGAAATCTACAATTTATGTGAACAATCTAGAATAAAAAGTTATAGTTGCCCCAGTTGTGACGTCAATATTGAGCCAAAAACCTTGATGGTAGCTTTCCCATATCCGCTTTTTTGGACTCAATATTTCGGAAAACTAAGAATGATATGCAAAAAAATATGTTAGGAGTATTCATACATAATTTACAAGTCTTTTCACATCTGACAAACTGAACTTTTATTGCTATTTCCCTTTACAATTAAGACCTCAATATAAACGTCGTGATGAAACTCATTTTAAAAGTAATCAAGCGTCAGTTATTAATTTTAATAGTATATTTATTTAATTAAACGAGAAATATATATTACGTTGTTTATCGCATTTTATTTTCATTTAATGCGAACCCCATGCAGATAGTTCGCACGACTTTGAAGACTTTTAAAACTTTTAAAACGAGTAGAATGCAACCAGCCGAAGGAGCATTGTTGGAACCTTCTGGAGTCGATCACCATAGTTCTGGAATAGACAATGTGGTTACAAATATGACCAATAGCACTGCGCGTATCCATGCGATTTATTGCAATGACGCTTCGGTGATATATACTCTGATAATAGTGAATAGTCTTTTGGTTTCTACAGGTGTTTTCAATAACTTCTTGGTTGCCTTAGTTGTTTGGAAAACAAAACGGATGCAAAACTCTACCAATTTGCTGCTAGCAAATAACGCCATTGCAGAGGTGTTCTACTTAATAGCTTCTGGATCAGATTTAATCATGCTAGTATTATTTCAAACTAACGTTTTCAACGTGTCGCATGTTGTCAATATAATAAAAATGAGAGGACCGCTTAGTATGCTAATCATTGCGCCATATTTGGTAGCAGCCACGAGCTTGGCGTTGCTCTCAATTGAACGTTACAACGCGTTGTGTAATCCCATGAAAATACAGCGAAGATTAGGAAAGCGTAGTACGAAGTTTTGTATGTTAACAATGTGGTTGGTGGCGATAATTCTAGTCCTCCCGGTTACTGTAAACCTCATACTCCGCCACGGATATATCATGGACATCAATATCGTCATCTATTATTGTGTTATGTGTGCAAGCCTTACTACTATTCTTGGCTGTATTATCGTCAACTGCTATGGAAGAATTATATACCAGATTCACATTTCAAAAACTATCTTCAATCAAACTTGCAATGCTACGATATCAGAAGACATGAAAGCGAAGAAAAATGTCGTTAAAATGTTATTTTCAATAACATTGACATTTTGTATCGCAAAATTGCCAGTGGCGACATTTGGAGCTATCATGTTGTTTATTGAGCCTAGACATATTAACAGTCAGATGCATTGCTTGATATTTTTTATAGAAACCTTAGGACATGTGTCTGCTTTCCTAAACCCTATTATATACTTGGTGTTTAATTCAAACTATCGTGGAGGAGCGCTTAGATTGTTGAAATGTTCTGTCCACAACAGAGTGGCTAGAAGACAGGGAAGCAACACCGGCAGCTTGGATACTTAACGAGTTTATTACAAATTTTAAAAAAGCGAAATACAGCTGCAGAGCTGAGCGTGTTTGGAAAAACGCGGTACCTGAAATAAACTATAAAAACAAACGTTGCTCTTTGCAAAAAACTCAAAGATGTTCGACAGGTGAATAGATAATCAGAAAGGTGATAGTTAATATTAAGTTTCGTTGGATATTATCCAAGTGGCTAGAGTGTGATAACATAGATAGAACAATTTATAAGATAATTTACACAAACAGTAACAGTCAGTATGCCATTGTCAAACGAGAATTGACATGGAGTTGGCAGTCGCGCATTGTTACGGGGAGCATTTTGATCAATTTAAGCTCTATAGATTAACAAAATAAGTGTTTGATGAGTATTCCAGTCATGTTTCAACTTCAATAAAATAAACGACAGTGTTGACTATTGGGAAAGCATTAAGAACAATTAACTAAGGGCGTGACTGCCAACGCTCGTGCACTCTCATCCTCGTTTATAATTGATATGGGCTTAACTCCAGCATTCAACAATATTCTACAAATCATGCGTTAAAAGCTGGATGATTTTTTTTGATATTTCTAATGGTTTATTGAAAGTTAAATGAGCAGAAAGTAAATAGAAGGAAGACATCTCCAAATAGACGCAAGGGAATATAAGTACATATATAGATCAGTGGGCAGACGAGACTTCCGAGTGTGATGCATGATGAGAACGACAAAGAAAAATTGCACGTTTTCGACTTATTTCGACGTCTTATCGAACGCGTTCTGCCAGTCGTATTGAAATGAATGTAACTGGAACGCTACATTCAGAAATACAAAGTAATTCTTAAAACGATCAATATTTCTTGGATTTCATTCTTTAAGATTCGTCGAAAGACTTCATCACCCCAGGCATTAGCCACAATGCTAACATTCGTTCGAGGCGGGAGGACGGGAAATCGGGGGGCCCGGGGCGTCCAGGGCATACTCCTCGGGAAAATTTTGTAAATCTGAGACGCTATTAATTCCAGCATTCTGTGCAGGGGCGTGCCGACGGATATATCTTTGTGGAGGGTGACCTTTGGATAAAATGGGATTAATTTTAAAATATGTTTTTCAGAATTTTTTCGACTTCTATTTTTTCACAATATGTCAATATTCCCAAATATTTAACACGTTCCGCAATTCCAGTATTTGGGGCCTCCCTCTGGGGAAATTGGAGCCCCTTCCCTGACTTTGCGTTAGAGGGTTTTACGGAATTAAAATCGATCGATCGCGAATAGAAAAACTGTGGTAATTACATCATAATAATGCCGGCAGGCCTGCAAAATTGCCTGATTTTAAGTAGAATCTGCCCGACTAATATCTAACTGGAGGCTACAGTCCAACTCCCACCTCCCCCCTATAAATCTGACAAGCTCATCAAATTTACTCGTACACTGCTGGCTACGAGTTTAAATTAAAGTTCTATAAATTGTGGTTGAGTCCAACCTCGTACCTAGGACTCGATCCTAGCAGAAACTATGGGAAATATGCTGTAATTTCACACAATATGAAAGGTGAAACGCCCCCCGTCCCTCATGTTCAATGTTGCGCGTACACAAATCTAAAGCCCGCCGCACACGAGAGCAACTTGCTGAGCGAACCGCCTCGCGAGGCGGTTAGCTCAGCAAGTAGCTCTCGTGTGCGAATAGTTTTCGTGAGGATTTGACCTCTCGAGGCCTTGAGGAAAATATCTATCGTGTTTGATATTTTTCACCTCGCGAGGAAAAAATTTCAGCGTCTGCGGATATTGTGATCAGCTAAGTGCTAAGCTGTTTGAATCAATTAGCCAATGACAACCCATAGTTTCTTCATGTGACATGGAACAAAATGGAGAAAATGCAAATAATTTTGTTAATTATGTTGTTGTTGAGTAGTTTTCGCAACGTGTGCGGTGAAAATACATAGCTAAGCTAGCTGCCACTCGAGGCGGTTAGCTCAGCAAGTTGTTCTCGTGTGCGGCGGGCTTAAGTTCTCTTTGCAAGATGCAAACAAATGAAACGGGCGGGAGCAGCCTAGTGCCTAGCCGTTCTACAGAGTTGCATCACGGCCAACGAACAAACGAACCGATAAAACTGGCTGGCTTAGGTATGACGTCAGTTAGTTGTGACGTCACCGCGCAAGGTCCCGCGCCGTCCCTTCCCCACAGATACCCCTCTCTCACCACATGTACCCCTTCGTACCCCCTATGAATCAAGTATAGCAAGCTAACAACGCGCGCGAGAGAGCCTAGGGCTAGGCTGGGGTGGGAGGAGGGAAGACGGAATAAATATATAAAGAAATGGTATAATACATCTTAAATTAACTAAATTGTCCCGTTTTGGAAATATATATTCAGTCTGCATGCATGTCCTAGTGTCCTTCGCAGACGTTCTTATTGCTCCAACCCTCGCCAACGAACGTCTGCTGATCATGAACTGAGCTGCACATTCCATTCCCTTTGTTTCAGGTGCCAATCATATTGCAGTGATTCTTAGAGCAAAAGTCAATCAGAAGCCCTTTATTAGTTCGTACATTTACTCCTGACTCGTTCCCAGCCTAACCCGCAAACGGGCATATTCTCCAGTACTAAAATATAACGAGGGACTGTGGAAGAGTCAGCATTTAGGGGCGGACCATTAGAAATCCCGGGAGGGGGGGGGATAAAATTTTTGCGGCACGAATTTTTTTTCAGTCTCATGTCTCTGCAGGAATTTTTTTAATGCATTTAAACTCTGCACGAATTTTTTTTCAAGACGATTTGTACTTTGCTGTTTGCTTGCACGAATATTTTTTCTCTGACGTAATGGCTGCACGAATTTTTTCCCAGGCATTTTTCTTTGCACGAATTTTTTTTGGGTAATTTTCCCCCCCCCCCCCCTCCCCCTCCCGGGATTTCTAATGGTCCGCCCCTTACTCGGTAACTTTCACTTCCCAAAATCCAGAAGGTTCGCTGTGATTGGTCGATTCGAGGTAATGGATGCGCAGCTCAGTTCAATAGTTTGTCACCAACAATTATGATCAATTAAATTTATGATAAAACATGTGTTTTGAAGTATGCGACGCAGGCTACAGTTCAGAAGACGTTCGTAATAAGAACGTCTGCGAAAGAGACTATGCATGTCCCCAAGCAACCTTACATATCCTTCCATTATCCTTCCATTTACCCTTCCTAGAAATCAAGATGGCTGACGTTTCCGAGCAATCTCCAGAGGTAGGTACAAATAAACTTTATATTAGTTGACGAATATTGAATTATATATTACTTTTTATTGCTCAACTTTATTTATTGATATTATGTGTACAGTATTTCATGATCTGTATATTAATGTAGTTCGCTTTTCATAAGAAAAACACGTTAATAATTATGTGTTGTCACAGTCACAGACACAGTGTATACTGTATAGATGTTATTTGGCTTTTTATGCAGTTAAAATGGCAGGCAATGGTTTATAAAAAGTGCCCAAGAGACTTTATTATTCTGGTATACATTGTGCAGTTTATATGAAGACAATAATAATTTGTATAATTGAAATTTGCCTGCCAGCACAATGTAAACAAAGCAAGCCTGAAAATAAATTTCCAAGGGTGCCTGACAAAGTGTCAGGTACCAACTGATTGGTGCCTGACACTGGACATTATGTGCCTGACAAAAAATATTAACGCAACAGAGCAAATATATTTTTTTGTGAAAAGCTTAGTAACAACAATTATATCACATTTGTGTCGGTTTTCTTTGATCGTCCGAGGTTTATAACTAGCTTATGTACCTTGAATAAATAATTGGATTAAACTTATAGACAAAACGCGAGACTTTTTCATTAAAAATTTTTGAAAATGACAAAATATGTTAGAAAACTTCCACAAATGTGATATAAGTTAGTTATAAACCTCCTACACGGTTTATAACTCTAACTTATGCCACTACTCACTAGTCAATGTACCTATTACCTAATGAACAAAATTTTGATCTAGACAAGTTTAGACAAAAGTTTCATCACAGCTTGAAAGAGCATCACAAAATTAGTAATATTACAAAGTTTTGAAATGTTGTAAAATTTGGATAATATAGCCCTTTGAAGTTTGCCGTTTTCCGCTTTCTGAAAAAGGTATCAATTTCCCACGTGTATTGCAATCACGCGCGTATTACAATCTGCATTTTACAACATTTCGCAACGAAACTTTGGAATATTACTAATTTTGTGATGCTCTTTCAAGCTGTGAATGTGATGAAATTTTTTTATAAAATAACATGTATGTAACGCGTGCTCTGATTGGTCGAAACCCATGTTTGGATCAGGCCATCCAAACACGGAAGACTATCATGTTGTTGTTATTTTATAAAACAATTACTTTATGGTTTCCGTGTTAGGATGGCCTGATCCAAACACTTGGGAATGTTGCTCGAGTTAAGAAAAGCGCGCAAAATCACTCGCCTTCGGCTCGTGCTTTCGCTCGCTTTTCTTAACTCTCGCAACATTCCCGCGTGTTTGGATCAGGCCATCCAAACACGGAAACCATAAAGTAATTGTATAGTCTAGACTTGTCTAGATCAAAATTTTGTTCATTAGGTAATAGGTCCATTATACCATACGGAATCGAACAATCATAAATTTCACAGCATTTTCACAGGCATATTGTATTTTTAATGCCAGTTGTAAACAGTTTCACCAATAGTTGTATTAATATGCTGCCGGACAAACTGTCCGCCAAAAAAACAGTTGTGCCGGACAATTACCTTTTCGTACCGGACAATGTCCGTGACCGGCCGCTTATTTTCAGGCTTGAAACAAAGGCTTGCTGCTTCAATTGCTTGCATGTACGTTTTGCTGATAGATTGATATAATAATTCTCATATGACAGTGTACACTTAATGTCTGCCTCTCAGGGAAATAGTTTGTTAGAGTCTTAACTCTTTCAGAACACAAGCCAGTTTCGGAATTATCGGATTTTGTTAACAAAGCAATCTTTCCATTATAGGCCGTGGGCCGTTGGCCAAAATTATTTCA